CTCTCTCTCTCTCTCTCTCTCTCTTTTTACTCCCCGTCGTTGCTGGCAATTTCAATCTGGCACACCCGAAATGGGACAGATTTGTGGGCGAGCCCGACGAAGCAGCGGAGGGACCGGTACGCACCTTCGCCCACCACAACCTCACTCACTACCTCTCCCCCAATACCATCACGCACCACCCTCACAACACTGAGCACCGCAAGAAACCGCTCGATCTTGTGCTCAGCTTGCTGCGCGCAGAAGATCAGGTTGTCAGCTGCGGACTCGCCGAAGACCTCGAGTCCGGATCCGACCACCGCCCCATTCGACTTGTCCTCGCCCTCGAGACGACCACCAACACCCTACTGCCCCGTCGCGCCTTCCGATGCACAGACCCCGAAATCCTTGAGCGCGCTTTCCGCGAAGCCTCCGCCAATCTGCCGACCTTGCCTCTTCTCCGCCCCAGCGACATCGACGAGCGAGCGGAACAACTCACCAACGCCCTACAGATTGCAGTATCCGCCGCAACCCCCTTTGTGCAAGCCCAATCCGGCCGAGTCGTGGAGTGGTGGGACAAGGAGCTTGCCCAGGCCAGCAAAGCAGCGAGGCGTGCCGCAAACCGGGCATTCCGGCTACGAAGCATAGTCGGGCGCGAAGTAGACGGAGAAGTCGCATGGAGGGAAAAGAAGAAGTTGAGGAACGAGGTGAAGTCAATGATCAAGAGGAAGAAGGACGAGTGGGAAGAACGGGAACTGGCGACGGTGACGGAGGCGACGCTGTGGACAGCGGTAAAGAAGCGCGTCAGCGACACATTCACCGCTCACCTGTCGACCCCACCGCTCAGGAAAGGGGACGGTACGTACGCGACCTCGCCCGTCGACAAACTCGACCTCCTCCGCCTGCTCCTCCTCCCAACCGTCCCGCCCAACTCTCCCAATGCCTCCGCGCCCGCCCAACCACCCGCCCGGAACTCGCAAACCCAACCTCCACCCGCCCGCAATCCTGACATCCCAACTTTGCGCTGGCCGGAACCGCAACCTGCGAAGGCGGGAAAAGGGAGGAGAGTCAGCGGTGCACAAGTAAGCCCCGAGTTTGTTGTCCGCCCCGCTACCCACCCTCCCTCTGTTCCCTCGCTGAGACTCCTGCTGCATGCTACAGCCCTCCAGCTGTACGTCTGAGGCTATCAGCCACCTCCAGCGCGCCCGCAAGGCGTTGCTGGAGGGTACGATAGGGCCGGAGATGAACTCTCGGGCCCGAGGCGCCATCGAGCGAGTACTTGCTTTCCTCAAGCTCAAGCGCGACGCCGGCAAAGCGACGCCGTCCAAGCCCTTCCAGCTTGCCGTACCCGCAGCCGCGACACGCCAGACGCCCTCGTCGCTGAAATCCAGCGCGACCCCCACCTCCCCGGTCCACCCTCCTCC